ATTATAAACAGGCATAGACATGAACTAAGCTCTGTTGTCAACTGGAAGTATGTACATATCCTATCTGACTTTGCAAGGTCATCTCAAGCTAAAGGGAAATCAAACAGCAGGCAATGATACTGACAATAGGTTGAAACTATCACAAGTTCAGAAATTTACTACATAGAGGATGGTGAAGTGGCAGCATTTAATGTTATAATTAACAATGATAATATTTTACATGTCAGAATTTCTGCTCTTGTTGATATCCCAATTGATAACAGGTGACCACTCCTGGTTTAAACTTTTAAAGTTCAGTTAAGGAAGTTTCCTACGGTTACACTGTGATCCATGGGCTGGCATGTAGAATGGCCAATTGGTTAAATTGTTGAACTGGGCGGCTTCTCATCAAAACTCTTTAATGATTTGCCTTCAGCCGCCCTCCTACCTCGCTGCCCTCCATCATCCCAACCCTGCCCCTCCATGCTCGGGTCCTGATCCCCGACTGTTCAGTGCCTTGAGTTGTCCTCCCAACATGAAAGGCGCTTTAAAATGTAATTTTGTTGTTGTTGTTTGAGAAAGAGGGTGGAGAAGTGAGGGAAATGGGGGAGCTTTGAAATTCACTCACAGCTAAACGTTTACCCACAAGCAGCCACTGAAAGAGGCATAATTTACAGCGATATGAATGTTGCATTGTCCACCCCTAAAATGTGAATGATTACAACTATGAAAGGTCTGCCGCAGTTCAAAGTAGCTCCAAAAACAATTCAGGCTTAATTTTAAATTAAATTACAGCGGCCCACTCATGCTTCACCAACTGAAATAAGACAAATTGAAACAGACATCCGATTTGGATTTTAGGACATTAATGCACAATTAGGTCATTGGCTCATGTATGTTTTGTTTGAAACTCAGTCCTATTCAATGCTCGTAAAGATATTTTTCAAATCTAAAGCCACACTTGTCCTGATTTATTGGAGCAAGATACTTCCCCTAATTCTGAAGTACTACCTGTTTTCAATGCAACATAATTAATAAAGGGATATTAATAAAGGATGGGTGTCTAACCAGTTAAAGAAAGGAGGATTGATTGATGTAACTATTCGTAATGAGTCAAAACCTATTATTATTACATTATGCTGGCTTCCTCCCTGGGTGATTAAATCTAATGACTTGTTGATCCTGTTCTGTAGCTCTTTGAGGTTTGAAGTACTATTTCTGAATCAAAATGACTTCTGTCAAAGAGGCTAAAATTTATAATGAGTATATTTTCTATGGTTCTGTAGATTGAGCTATTTTCATGTTGTCTTTTAGATTTGTAGGAAATTAATTTGGATAAATTTATAACAATGAAAAGGAGTGAACTTTAAAATATCAAAAAATCTTGCTTTGGGAAAGACCAAAATAAATATAAAAATCGTTGTATAAATTTCCTTTTATTCCTTCTATCTTTATTTTGCATTAGAAATCTGAAGTAAATATCTATAATGTGCAATTATTGATTTGTTTGATCAGTCAGTTGTCTGACACACGAAGAAATGCAACACCATGTCTGAAATGGAATGTGCAATCTCTCCCTGGAGGATCTCATCATGCTTACCTGATTTTGGTTAGTATTTAGCACAGTTGGTTGAAACACAAGGCTTGGGACCCCAGATTATGCGTTGGGGGTATTTCTAGAGTTGGTATTGGGGGTATTTCAAGAGTTTAATTAGCTAAAATCACATAGTTTAAAGGTATACTGTATTATCTGTAAAGCGTCCTGTAAAGCTTCCTGTTGCTTGACCAGCCAGGACTACCCTACCCAAGAGAACTTTGGCTTGAGCCTGCATCCAATGCAACAAACACTTTAGAGACATTAATGACTCTAACAGTGACATTCAGGCCAGTGTCACGATTAGAAGTTTTTCTAAAAACTTGTTTTAATTAATCCCATTTTGCAGCTCTCTCTCCCCATGTCCCTTAATGTTTCTACTTCTCAGATGTCCATCTATCCAATTGCCTTTGAATTATTCTATTGACTCAGCGTCAGTAGCCACCTGTAATAAGGAAATCCAAACCCTAACCACCTCTGAGTATAGAAATTCCTTGTACTCTCTCCTGTAGATTTTTTGCTTATAGTCCTGTACTCATAACTACCGTGTAAAATATATATGTTGAACTTGTCAGGGTTCTTCTTAAGAATAGCAAAATATTGTTTTCCAAATTGAGACTGAAATTAAGAATCACCCAAATTGCTGCATGATCGTAAATTTTAATAGTTTTCTTAAGGCTAAAAGCATAAGAAATTGTGTGTCTTCTGCAGACCAACTATAATTAACAATCACATGGATTTTTGGAGTAGAGGTGGTGAATGACAGAGGTCAGGATGCAGATGACACTGAACTGGGGATTGGGGGGTTGAGAAGTGTGGGAAACAATGAAACAATGATTGCAGAAGAACTTAGGAAGATATAAACGGGCTAACGGAATGGGCAGATAGATGGCAAATTAAGTTTAATGAAATAATTCACTTCGGCAAGAAAAATATAGAAGCTGATAAGAACCTAAGAGGAGTAGAGGAGAAATGAGATCTGGGGTTTCAGATCCACAAGAATTTTCTACAATTCTCAGAAATCTTCCATTTTAAGGCAAAGTGAACTTGCCAGGTAAAACTAGGTGGAATTTTGGACCCACAGTATCTTTACAGAAAATACAGAATTTCATCCTGAGAACCTCTTTCCAGTGACAAGGCACCAGTATTATTACTGTTTTCCTGAGGAAATCACAATGATAACACAGAGTGGGAGAGAGAGCGAGGAAACCTATCTGTACCACCACCTAATGTGCTAATTCAGCTAACTCACAGTTGATACTTGAGGAATTTCTAAATTCAAACTGTATGTTAGACCCCAATAACAATGCTAATTCCTAACTTCTATCTTATCCACGAATGTGGATGCACTCCCAAATTCCAATTACCAGGAACTCACCCAAGCATGTGCACTTCTCTGCTGAGTGCTGTAAAACAGTATGTGTACGGCTCCAAAGATGAGCACTGAGAGTGGGAACATTAGGAATGTAAGTTGTTTTGTAAAATTCATGTACATTAACCTCATCTGGAGGTAAGTACATTACTGTTCATATAGTGTTTAACTGAACACTAATGTTGCTTTTTCAATCGAGTACTTACACTTAATACTGTTGCAACACAGAAATGTGTATCCAGACACTTCCAAAAATAAGATAATAAATGATAACTCTTACATTTCATATAGCATCTGATAATGTCATTGAAATGTCTCAAAGTTCTTCACAGGATTCACCACAAAAGGTAGTGACAGTATTTTGGGGGTGGGGGTGGATGCAAAATAAGTACAATAATCCTTCACTGTGAAACCCTTTAAAATGTCTTCCTGATGTGAACAGCAGAATATCACATACAATATTAATGATTTTCAAGGATTACTTCAAAACCGTTTGCCAAACACAATCCATTTTCCTTTCTCCTTTTTCATAGAAGAATACCTTGCAGTTTAATTCTTATTTCAAACCAGTTTCATTTTTTATTCTATACTTTACAATTTCTTATGTTGGCAGATTCAGCCCCTTATAGCTCTTTTCTGTGTAGTTTTGAACACTTGTCGTCTTTCTGAATCATTTATCCTCTCTGACATTTTGGACTGTTAACAATTTTAGTTGAAAGAAAGATGTACTTGTGCCAAACAAGAAATAAAGAGGTGACAGGAGCACAATGCTGGCAGTATGTTACCAAAAGGAGATGTAAAGATTTGGAACTATCACACTCTTGTATATCATTCAGTTTTTGAAGAGAAATGTATTATTAAGACTGATTGATATGATGTGTAAATGTTATAGTTAACAAATGAAAATCATCTACCTGTGAGCATTGGGGTGGGGGAGAGGGAGGGGGGAGAAAGCTACACACACAGAACTATAGAAATTTACATGCAGAATGAATATTCGGCCTAATATCCATGTGCTGGCTCTCTGAGAGAACTTTCCATTTAGTCTTATTCTCCTGCCCCCACACTGTTTATATTTTTCCATTTCAGATATTTATCTAATCCTAAAAGCTAGAATGGATTCTGCCTCAATATTCATTGGAGCATTCCAGTTCCGATTTTGTGTAAACAAAATCTCCTAATCTTTGTGTATATTGTGCATTTGTGGGTGTTTCGCCAAGAAAATACGCAGTCAATTCACTTTAGAGTATATTCTGTGAAGCGCTTTGAGATGTCTTGAAGACATGATAAGCCGCTATTTCAAATGCAAGGATTATTATTATTATATTATTATTATTATTTATATCCAGCTCAGTCAACATCTATAGCAGTAAAGGGTAGAAATTCTAACTGATGTTCTCCTGGAATATTGCCAATTTTCCTCAAGTAGAAAGGAAATATAGGAACAAGAGTACGCTACTCAGCCTGTCGAGCAAGTTCTGCCATATTATTAAATTATGGAAGTCATCAAAAGAGAAACCAACATAATAATAATAATCCTTACATTTGACATGATATATCACGTCTTCGAGAAGTCTCAACGCGTTTCACAGAATATACTGTAAAATGAATTGACCTGTATATTTTCTGGGCGAAACATGGCAGCTAATTGTCATGGATTGAGTGACTGAATTATAATTTTTTTTTTTTTAAGAGATTATTACCCCCGCCAATTGGCAAACAACCGGGTGGGTTTCTACTTACTGCTAGGCAAAAAGAGATGTGTGGAGTAAGGAAACTTGAATACATTTCGCCCTGCCAGGGAATTGAACCCAGGTCCTCTCGCCACCAATTGCAATGTGAATTTTCATTATTCTGAGTCATTCAGGATGTTGGACACTTTAGAATATTTTGGGGTTGCAGTTTTACACGAGATGATGTCTTTATCCTTGAGCCAATAGTGAAGCCATTCTTTTCTTGATTTTTTAAAAAAAAGTTTAACCTTACTTTAAACAAATGCAGAATATTTAAATACTTTTATGCTTGCAATCATATAACTGTAATGATAAAACCTACCAAGAATTGCCAGCACCATGGTACCTTTAAGTACTTCCATGGAACCTGAGCAAACAAAATAGATGGCTTGCAAGGCATCTCCTTGTCGAAGGAGGTACTCCCCAGGAGCACAGAAGGAAGTTTTGATATGGAGAGAGAGGGACCTGAGACAGCCATGGCTGGCAGGTTCAAACAGAGAAAGTTGTAGAATTTCCTTGTTCAAGTGCATAGTGATGTCTGACCGTAACTCATCTGGAAAATCCTTCAAAAGCTGCAGAGATGAGGTTAGTCAATACACATTTCAAATGATTTATTCAGAGCTATTAGGAAAAGACCAGGGAACAGATTCCAAATACACCATTCTCAGCAGTTATTTTAGCAGTTTTTTTTTCAAAATGGTTTTAAGCCGACAATTGTTAACAATAATTCTGCAAGTCGTACTTACAGAAGTAATTTTGAAGAAAGAAAACTCAGGTGTGTTTCAGAATCTCTCCCGAATACTGTTCTCTTCCTTCTATACAAATGTACAGTATCTAAATCTTAGGACTTGAATATTTAATTACACTTTCTCTAATACATTCACATTGGCACACTTCCACATCAAAGATCACCTTTAGCTACATTATACCTATATTTGGACATGCATGTGTATTAATCAGTGTGCCACATTGACTTGTAGATGGAAATTGTCAATAAATATTTAATAGCACTCTACAACAACAGTATCTCAACACTAAAACTATTTTTTGAACATGGACAGAAATTGTATTTGCTGTTTTTAAATATAAAAACAATTTTTATTTGACCTGGGGAAGAACTCTCCTTGCTATTGTTGCTGCTGTATTTTGATTACTCTATTTTATTGCCTCCAGTTTTCTCTCTGATTCTCTCCCCTTATATCTCCTCGACTGAAGTTGGTGTATCAGACTGGCAAAAAGTCATGGGTATTGTACTTGCTGGAGGTGACATAAATTCTACAGGATGTCCCTCCTCTCTAATTCCTCGAGGATGATTTTTTAATATAAAATGATGTATTGAATATTAGGTCCTTTGGACAACAAAGACAATTTGCATTTATATAGTGCTCTTCATGTGGGCCAGTGTCTCAGTGCGCTTGGACAAATAGATATTTGGATCAAAAATGAGACTTTAGCAAATAGGCTTATGATGAGATGTGAGGTATAAGATTTTAAAAGTTGGAACTGTTTTGACAGGAACAAAAAGAAAACAGGTGTGTTAGATGTCAGAAGGATTCAAACATGACTTGTCTTCCATGCCCCTATAGTCAAATAGTTTTTTGATACTCACTGTCCAACCTTGGTACGTCCTCCTGATGTGAAAAGCGCTATATAAATGTAAATTTGTTGTTGTAGTCTCATGTATAAAACATGGACATTTAAATGAGGTAATGAACCCACTGAACCACAAATTGCAAATTTCTGTCTCCGGCAAGAAAAGAATAAAAAGTAAAAAATATTGGGAATAAATTTATTACGAGTCTCACTAGTCCTAAGCATAACAGGCAATGTAAAGAAGGTGAGGAAGTACAGTTAAGAGCTGAAACAAACATTCACATGCAATGGAAGAGTTAAAGGAAATGGAGTTAATGGCTGTTCATTCATATACTGTACTATCCAATCTAATGGAATCTAATTGATTGGATATTTCAGATGTTATAGAAGGTTATCTGCTTAAAGGCTTATTTACAAATAATTCATTTTTATTTTATCAGTCAGACAGAATAACTATTTTTGACAAGGAAAATATAATAACTAACTGCCAGACAAGACAACAACACTTCCTGCACATAGCTCACATGTGTGCAATGTACAAGAAATGACATTAGCCATGACCTGATGACCTCAAAATGGGACCTTGTGACCATTATATTTTTGCAGACCCATTATAATGTAACGTTTAGTTTGTTAGATCTGAGACATTGCCTTATAATGCAGGTACCCTGTATTCGCTCAATTTTGTTCACCTTTCCATTATGGTCTACAATAAGTGAAAGTTATGTTTCAAGGTTATTTTATATATCTTTATGATGGTGGAGAAAGTAGTACTATATTTTCTTGTGCTACAAGCATAAAATAAGAATGAATTTTTTTATGCAATAGAAAGTTCACATCTCTATGCCTACCTATCTCTACTCCTCTCATTACCTCCCATCTCCACCTCCTTGCCCCTCTACTCACAGTCAGCATCAATCTCTCCTTGTCCACTGGCACCATTCCCACCCCCTTTAAAACAGCCGTCATCACCCCTATCCTTAAAAACTCTTCCTTTGACCCATCCCCGCTCTTCAACTACTGCCCCATCCCCAACCTTCTTTTCCTTTCCAAGGTCCTAGAACAAGTCGTTGCTTCCCAGCTTTGCTCTTCCTCTCCTGCCACTCCCTACATGAACCCATCCAACCAGATTTCCGTTCTGCCCACAGCACAGAAACAGCCTTGGTCAAAGTGACAAATTACATTTTGATCATCTGCAACCAGGGCTCCCTTTATCTCCTTATCCTCCTTGACCCCTCTGCTGCCTTTGACACTGTTGTCTATTGCACCACTCTATCCTCCTCTGATGCCTCTGCTCTCAACTCAACATTCAAAGTTCTGTCCTTGACTGGTTCATATTCTATCTTTCGCACCATCTCCACTTTGTCTCTACAAACAGTTTCTCTTCCAGCCCCTGCACTGTCTCGCATGGTGTTCCTCAGGGCTTTGTCCTTGGTCCTCTTCAACATGTAAATCCTCCCTCTTGGTGACATCATCCACAAACATGGGGTCAACTTCCACATGTATGCAGATGACACCCAACCCTCGATTCTAGGACCACTGACAGAATGTCTGTCAGACATCAAATCCTGGATGAATGCTAACTTTCTACAGTTGTATGTCAACAAGACCCAGGCCCTCCTGATTGGCTCCCAGGAGCTTCTCCACACCTCAAGCACTGGCAGCATCACCATCCAAGGATGCACACTCCACCTTACTAAACCAGTTCAGAACCTCGGCATCTTGTTTGACCCTCAACTATCCTTTCTATCCCACATCAATGCCATGACCCACTCTGCCTTCCCTCACCTCCGCAACATCGCCCGGCTCCGCCACTGTCTCTTCCCTTAGGCTGCCGAGACTCTCATACATGCATTTAATACATCTATGCTCAACTAACCCAATCCCTGCTTGTTGGCCCTCCACAAATTACAGATTATGTGCTTTCCTGCACAAGGCTCAATCATCCCCTCCCTCGCCCGGTTCCACTGGCTTCCCATTTCCCAGAGGATAAGTTCATCATCCTCGCCTTCAAAGCCCTCCACAGACTTGCTCCTTCCTACCTCTGTGATGTGCTAATGCCATATCAACCTGTTCGCTCCCTCCGCTCAGCAGGCTCTAGCCTACTCCACGTCTCCCGCCAATCCCCTGCTCAGGTCTGAAACACTGATTGCCCAGCGCCTTGGGACATCTTCCCAATGTGAAAGGTGCTACACAAATGCAATTTGTTGTTTGATATTTTTGATCAGTTTGCTATTTCTATATTTCAAAATTTAAGCCATTTCTCAGGAACAAAAACCATACGGACCATTGAAACACTTATCTTGAACATGTTTAAGGTGCTCATTATTTTCTCTAAATTGTTTTTCAGTACATGTCAAAATATTATCTTACTGCAATGAATGTGAAATGGAACAGGGAATAAAAATAAAATACCTCATTAGCATCTATTCCGTTATTCACAGACCAAGTTGTCTGGAAATACTCCAGCATTCGTTGCTTCAGCATCTTTGGCAGATGATGGACACGAATGAAATCCTTCAGGTCTTTAATTCTGTGGTGATAGAGCGACCACCTGGAATACATACGCTGAATGATGGCAGTTACGTTTCCAAAGACCAATGCGTGCATCAGTGCTGAGAAAAAAGGAGCAGGACTGGTTAATAGGTAGTTAAACAGAGCGAGCAATGAATCATGTGAGGACAATGGGTTATCTTGTGGGATGAGAAAGCAGGAGTCTGTATGGTTTATTGCGTCAGTTGTTAAAAACAATTCCTCACACCCCTGTGTTTGCAATCCTCTTGCATGGCTGTATTAAATATGCAGCCATATGTGTGAGAAGTACATCAGAACTGTCATTCAGCTGCAGACTGGGAATTCCTTTTGAGGTTAAAGCTAGCAATTCTGCTACATTTGCAAAGCTTCCCAAAAATATTCTCAAAGCATTAAGTGACCTATGAAAGCAAGGCTATGTTACTGGAAGAGAAACATTTTTTCGGCTCTTGTAGAACAATAGCTTGTTGGAACAAAGATCTGAAATCCCTTGTTACTTTAGCTTTACATCTTAACAATTAAGGTTGTGCAAAATTTTGGAAAGTCCTTCAATTCAATCTACATCTGGAAGTTGGTTTTCAATAAATAATCCTTGCAACTGGCATAGCGCTTTTCACTTCAAGAAGATGCCATAAAAGACTTCATATGATTTACTGTAAAGTGTAGTGACCGTATTTTTAGGCGAATGTGGCTGATAATTTGTGCACAGCAACAACTTATAAACAGTCGCAATGTGAATGATTAATTTTATGTGGGACATTGTTGGCCAAGACACAAGTGAAAACTCCTTTCTCTTTTAAAAATGTGCCACAAGATCTTTATGTCCACTGGAACATGCAGACATGGCCTCCGTTAAACACCTCATCCAAATGACAGCACCTCTAACAATGAAATCCACCCCCACAGCACTGTACTGGTATGTCAGTCTAGACTGTGAGTGCAAAAACCCGACATGGGGCTTGAACTAGCAACCTTTTAAATCAGAGGTGAGAGTGCTACCAACTGAGCCAGACTGGTACCATTTTCTGTGATTCTTTTTAAAAGGCAGATAACTGGATTCCAAATTAAGACTAAATTTTACAAATTACCAGAATTCTGCATTGTGTGTCAGACTGGCTCAGTTGGCAGCACTCTCACCTTTGAGTCAAAAAGGTATGGGTTCAATCCCCACGTCAGGATTTGGGATTTATATAATCTTGACTGACACTCCAATGCACTGCTGGAGGTGTACTGTGGCGTTCATCCACCAAATAGACAATCACTACAATATACAGTATATCTTGTGAAGTGCTTTGAGATGTCTTCCTGACGTGAAAGCTGCTACATCAAATGTAAGGATTATTATTAAATATTATGACAATAGCTTTGAGGCTGGGACCAAAATAAATTTCATGCCTGTAGATATCAGCCTCACTAGGAACTCACTGAGTAAATGTACAATTCAGTATTCTGTGGAGCCTAAAGATGTTCCAGATTTAATCACTGAGTTAGTGAACCTCATTCAGAGTGGAGATGAGGGCAATCAGATAATGGTACAGCTCCTGATCATGATCCAGTAACCCATTAGAAAATCTAGACGTGTTAATAGTGCACGAGGACAGAATCTGTTTCCAGAGTTGAATAATTTGCTGTTACTCAATGTCTGCCAACATATGAAAAATACAAGGCACAGAAAAGTCTCTGGGATCCAACACTATGAGTCAGTGCCCCAGAAGTATAGGAGAGAAAAGGAGAACAACTTGAGGAAGAGAGGTTATTTGGTTATCAAAACAACTGTATATGGATATGCTACTTTAACATTGCATTCAACTCTGTGAAAGTCAAATAATCTGTGATGTGACATAAATTCATACTGACTCTTTCAAACAGGAGCAGGAAGTGGAATTACTGTTGTGTAGTGCATCTTTTGTCTAGAGGTGGAGGATCTGTGAATCAATTTGACTCAGATATCATCCCATACTAAATAAATGTTACATAAACAAATTAAATCATAAGTGATGTTTAATTCAATGTGTTATATTTACCCACATGCAACAACAATACATTACACTTGTATAGCGTCCTTCACATCGGAAAGACATCCCAGGGTGCTGGACAGTCAGGGGTTTTGGACCCGAGCTGGGAATTGGAGTCAGAAGGGAAGGAGGGCAAGGGGGGTAAGGTGGTGGGGAGGGTGGCCGAAGGCACCGTCGAAGAGGAAGGGTACCCAGTGATGAGGAAAGACAAATGCACCTACCTCCTATCAGCATTGTGCAGATGGAAAAGATCTTCTCTGCATCAGTATTGGCTGAAACATTTCCAAATCCCACACTGGTGAGACTACTCAGGGTAAAGTAGAGAGCAGCAATGTAGGCACTTCTGACTCCAGGTCCTCCGAGTGTATTATTGCCATAATATGGCGTTTCCAGACGTTTGCCCAATTCGTGTAACCAGCCTTTAACCAAAGAGTCCTCATATAAATAAAAAGCAGTAAAAATCAACTGTAAACCTTCTTCAGCAACACAATATCCAAACAAATCATTTAAACTTTGAAGCTTGTGTGGAAATATCAATAAACAAAAAGCAAAATACTGCAGATGCTGAAAATCTGAAATAAAAACAGAAGTTGCTGGTGACACTCAGCATGTCTTCACATGTCTTCACAGCATCTATGGAGAGAGGAAAATGAATTAATGTTTTCTGAACATAGACCTGAAATGTTATCTCATTTTCCTCTCTCCACAGATACTGCGTGTTCCTAGCGAATCTGTTTTTAGTGGAAATATCAATCTTTGTTTTGCAATTAAAATCCCTTGGGCTATTTTTCGTTCTTCATAAGTCTGCTTCTATAAATTATACCTTTGTTGTTCCGTTTCATTTTCCTCCTTCATTTCCCAGGCATGCCATTTACCATTATGGCCTATTCCCTGATTAAAAAGACAGGAAGGGAGCTTATTCCAGGCTCTTCCAATACCTCTGTGATCGGTTACTTTAATGTGTTTGGAAACTGTCCAGGCCATTTCCAATCTGATTTTGTATCTCTCCCTGTCTCTGGCCAGGTCTTTTTTCCTGTGTCTGGTCAGAATGGGAAGTTGCCAAATAACATGGGTATAAATCGTCACAAATATCACTAACATTTATAAAATGAAAATTTCTAACCATGTTTTTGTTGGAGAGAATAAACATGTTGGAATGAAAAATGTAATGTTATTTTAACAGATTTGATAATTATTATATATGTTATTGAATCTGGTTTGAAACAACTATACCTATAGTGTGTGAAGCCCCTCCCCACTGACTTCGGCACAATGATTAAGCCTAAAGATTTCAGTGGCCACCATTGCTGTTTTCAATGGCAACTGTGGCTGGTGTTCAAATGTAATTTAGGGATACTGGCCTAATTCAATTGGTATCCCATTAAGCAACACAGCACACAAATTCCATTGGGGAAAATAATCAGGATTATCTAAGTGGAAATAATAGGCCTTAAATTCTTGGGATTTAATTTTGGATGCGACTTTGTGCTAGATTTGGGATGAAGGAGTGGGACCTTCAGCCAATCTTTAGGAAAAGATTATAAATTGTAATGTTTCTTAACAGAGGCAATCAATAGTTATTCAACAGTTGATGAAACATTACCCACCTTTTTCATTCTGTATGCTCTGTGTGCCTAGTCAGAGTTTATTATACATTTTCTTTAAAGATTGCTCAGAATGGATTGAAATTGGATGAAAGTGGTTTTAAAATCATGGTTTACTTTCACCAGAGTTCATGGATTGACCTGGAGCATATCCTCTTTATTCATCAGCGACCAACCTATTCTGCCAAATCTTTTAATAAAAAAATTAAATTGATACTGTAATATAGTTGTACTGAGACTGAAAGGGACCAGAATTGGTGTATTTTAATTAGTGGCAAGATTTCCTTGGGATGCACTGAGGTAGTAGTAAAAGAGGACACAGGTTGGGTTGCAAAAGACAGAGGGTAATTAATGACTGAAACAGGTTACCAGGAGGATGGTTGAAGTAAGGATGATGGATTCATTTAAAAAAAAATAGCTTGAAGCTGTGATGGGAAGACAGCATTCTGGAAGTTTGAGATCAAATGGACTTTAAAGATCCTATGGCACTAGGATTTGGAAAGAAAAGGGAGCTTCTCCCAGTGTCCTGGCCAACAATACTCCAAATAAAATTGGTCATTCACTTCATGGCTGTTTGTGGGGCAGACATTGGTGTGTGCAGTAAATTCTGTGAAGCGCTTTGACACGACTCAATAACGTGATAAGATCTATACCAAATGCAAGGATAATCATTATTATTTATAAATAGGCTTTCTTCATCCTCACCCAGCTCCACTGGGTCTCCACTCTCCAGTGGATCGAGTTCAAGGTCCTTGTTTTCACCTTTAAATCCCACCAAGGTCTTGCCCCAACCGATCCATGCCACTTCCTCAAACCCTATCGGCCCAGCCGCTCTCTTCACTTAGCGAGCTCTGTTGCTTCATTTCCCCCACCCCACCCTACCCATCTACCATCAGCCCCATCTTCAGTGTATCTGCCCCCACACTTTGGATCTCTATCCCGGAGGTCCTCTGACTCATTCCCTCCCTCACCTCCATCGACATCCATCTCATTTTTGACTGTGCTTTGGATAATCTTTTACATCTCCACACGCTCAGCTCCCACTGCCAACTTGGTTGCCAAGCCAGTTTTTGTTAAATGCCTTGGGACATCCTCCCGAAGTGAAAGACGCTATTTAAATATAAATTTGTATTGTATCTGAACCAATCTTGTGATCTTGCGAATTATATAAACCATTGCCTTTGGTAAGTTGAAAACATCCACTTTGGTTCTTGTGTTGAGTAATGGTATATATAGAACCATAGAACCTTATAGTGCAGAAAAAGTCCATTCAATCTGTGCTGATTCTTTGAAAGAGGAGTCCATTCAGTTTTAATTACCTGTCTTTTCTCCATGCAATCTTGATCTTAAGCCTAAGAACATGAAGATTTTCTGTCCAAGGTTTCTAAATCAATGTCAAACATCCTGTCACAATTGATCAAGTTGTGAAAAATGGGGTTAAATCCAAACACTTCATTGTATTATAGTGGAAGCCACACCTGGTACTCCAGTCACATGGGTCAAATATTTGCTGGAGAGGAAAAGGGATATGTATGGAAATCATTGAACCCAGCACAGCGACCACTGGATGCATAGTGATAGCAGCCATCTGAGATTTCTGCATATTCGGAACTCCAAACACCAGAAACCTTTTGAGACCATTTAAGTGACAAAAACACATGCACCAGCACACGGCATTTAACTAGATACAATAGAGTCTAATTATTAATGTTTTGCAGCAATTATTGTTCAAGCATTCATATATTTTGATCTATAATGTAAAATTGTTCATCGAATTGCAATTGGCGCAAACTGAAATACTTTGGATTTAGTGAATTGTCTAAATTTGACTGCCCCTTGAATGATTCTTTGTATGAACCAAAGCAGATTAAATACTGTATTTTGGCAACATTGGATTACTATAATGCTGCAGCTTTCCAGTTAAAGTATCAAAGCCATCAGACCTAAAAGCAGTGAAATACTATAATTTGAGGTTGGTGGGATCAGTCATATTTATAACTCTATTTTCCAAACAATTTATTTATTTGAGTACCAATAATCAAAACCAGTCCCTTAATCACCCATATGTAGTAGCATTATTTATGCCTTCTTTTTGTGTTGTGGAACAATATCACATCTGATATAATAATAACAGATGAGTTCAATTTGCTACAATGAAGACGTGACTGTTATTCAGTAATGGGTTATGTCCGACCATTACTTAGAGGCCAGATTTTAAACTAGAAGAAAGGCTCAGTGCGTCTCAATGGAAAGACTTCACAATAAAACACATCCTCTCAAGCCATGCTTTCAGAATGCTCCATGCCAGTAGCAATTTAAGCAAGTTGCAGATACACTTTAAAGTCACTTCATTTGCATTGCTATTTGATCTTAGTTAAGTGATGCACACAAAGATTGGAATTCCTGTTAACAATAGGACTAATGGCATCTAACCAGCTAAAACCACATAGCTTGCCAGTGATAGCACTGTCTGGCAAGCTTTCCTGCTGCTTTTCCAGCTAGGACCCTACTAGTTAGGGCTTTGGCTTGCAGCGTTACAGGAGCTGAGTGGGATGACTCCCTGGCCCCAGTGACTGGTTTGCACTTCGAAGTCCAGCTGATGAGCCAACCTGGCTGTGTTGTCATCAGCAGTGTCCTGGAATACTGAGGCCCCACGTGCCTTAGGAACTGACTACTGAGACCGCCACAGAGGGTGGGCTAATTTCTGACAATCCATTACCAAAATGTCACCTTGGAGCTAGTTCAGCTCCAAGAAGATCCGTCTTACCTCCCCCCCCCAAGGAGGACAGTCACTAGTTGGCCATTTGATATTTGACAAAAGCAGGTTTCAGTCCTCACTAGGTGGATGGCAAGTACCAGGAACTCCCTGCAAGTTTCCTGATGGGCAACACAGCTCAGCATAAATATACGTGAGAGCATAGCCACCATCTTTAAAGTTACTAGACGGTGTGGTCTAAGGAGATGAACTGACAGCAAAATTTGAGCATAATTTATTGTGCAAAATGATGATGCTGACTTTAGCAAGGACGGCAAATTGCAATGAATAAGGATTGATGGGTGAGTTAATGTACTGTAGCAGGTAATGGGGTATTGTCACAAACAAATAACATAACTTTATTGAACATAAACTGGTTAACCATGTGCAAAGTATAACAACTCCCTGCCTATTCCTCATCCAGATTCAGCTTTGTCAGGCATGCCAAGCTGATTTACACAGGCACATCTCCTCCCCTGGACCAAACTACAAGCTTCATTTTGGTGTTTGTCGTAGGGCCATTCCTCTTGGTCACCAGCAGGTTGGAGGCCGTCACCAACCTTCATTGTTTCTCAGGGCTTCACTCAGTCAGGGACGACTTGCTTTATGTTTAAAAATTAAACCTGCATTCAATGAGAGGACCCCCAGAGGTGACATACGACAATATTTGAGTCATTCATGGGTCCGAGAATCAGTCATGGTCAGCTTTAACGTTTCAGCAGGCAATCATGGTGAAGGAATGCAGACCTTTGCCATTGAACTCTGAGTTCTTTGCTCACAAAGATTATTAGGTACTTAGAAAAGATGGAGAATGTCTCTTTGCCATTTGATCTCATCCTTTAAGAATACAAACCATCCCAACATCAACATATTTCTTAAATGAGTCCAGGTCTAGGCGATTGAGGGGGAGTGTTTCAGAGTTTTGGGGCTTCCTTATGCCAAGACGAGCATAACTGTACACACTACTCTTAAGTGCAGCTTATTCAGAAAACTGTACAGCTTGAGTATAGCTTATTTGTATGGAGATGTGTTCCAGTATTGGTGTTACTATGTGGTACTG